AAAGTTTGCAAAAGAATACGAAAGTAAAGATTGTAACTTTTTGAACGGAGTTATTTTCTCCGACGAAAGTAAATTTAACATATTTGGGTCGAATGGACAGCGATATGTTTGGAGAAAACCGGAAAAAAAATTGAAAAATGGAGTTAGGCCACTTTCAAAATAAACGGCTCAAATATAGCGTCTCAAGCTTTTTTCTCAATGATTCAAGGAAGGGGGTAAGAGTGGGGGAGGCTAATCTTATCACGTGCAATAGATTTTTTCTTTTTTAAAACACTGTTAGAAAGCAGAGAGGACTGCTAGTTTCAGAAATGTAACTTTGTTACTAAATGTTAACTTTGAGCGATTCGATCTAGAATCAGTGGTGAAAGTCTTCGTAAATCCCCCAAAATAATCGTTTGATCACAAACGCCTCCAAATATATGTAAGGAAATTGACTTCCTCGAGACTAGTTTTTCAAGGCTCCTGCGCGCGCATGGCAGAAGAGGAAGTCAGGTTTTTGTAAACACGTGCGATTGCTGTGAAAAGTGTAAAAGTGAGACGATCGAGAATAAACATCGAATGTAGAGAAAGAAAAGAGTGTTTCGCAGAGAAGCTCTTCGCGTTGTTCTTGAATGGCCCCTTTTGGTATTCCCCACAATTGGAAAATTATAATATTATAAAATTATAAAGTTATAATGTTGTGGGATCGGGAAGGTAATAACTCCGCTCTGTTCCGTTCCGCACAATTTTATTGTTACTGTCGTACAACGACGTGACTCGTGGTGCGGGTTACGCTCGACTCTCTGGTACGATCATCGCCACCTTACCAAGAGGCCTTCGAAAACAAAAGACGGTCAGAGGCGACGACAACGGCTTTTCGGCTCGCGCGGCTCTGGTCGTCTCGTGTGCAACCATACATTGTAGCGGCTCTGGTCGTCTCGTGTGCAACCATACATTGTAGCGGCTTCGAACGACTAAGGCGTATGTGGTGCCTTGGCCGCCACAATATTATAAAATTATAAAGTTACAAAGTTATAAAATTATAAAATTATAAAGTTATAATATTATAAAATTATAAAATTATAAAGTTATAAAATTATACAATTATAAAATTATAAAGTTATAAAATTATAAAATTGTAAAATTCTAAAGTTATAATATTATAAAATTATAAAATTATAAAGTTACAAAATTATAACATTATAAATATTATACTTAGTTTCGTCAGTGAATAATACTCTTTCCAAAAATTGCACATTCTCGTTTTCATGTTTTTTTTTGCGAATTCAATTCTCTTGGAACTGTTGATGTCACTGACTAAAGGTTTCGATTATTAGGTTCACGATACCCAGATTTTTTCAAAATTCTTCGAATATCTTCAGGGTGTATCATTTCCCCAAAATCATTTTCCACATCTGTGGCTATTTTTCGAGCACTTAATTTTGGATTTGGCGAATAATTTGCAGTGCATTATTATTATCGATTATTAGATTCACGATACTCAGATTTTTTAAAAATTCTTCGAATATCTTCAGGGTGTATCATTTCCCCAAAATCATTTTCCACATCTGAGGCTATTTTTCGAGCACTTACTTTTGGATTTGACGAATAATTTACAGTACAGATCGAACATCACTGTTATTTAGAATTTCAGGACGACCACTGCGTGTTTTATTTTCATATTTACCAGCTATTTAAAATTTTTTTATTATTTACTGAATAGTAGAATATTTTCTGTCCACAATGTTAACAATTTCACGTAGCAATTTTCAGAGTTAGTTCAATAATTGAACCTTGTAGTTTGAAAGTGGCTTAACTCCATTTATACTTAAATCGAGATATTTAATGTTTACATGCACGTTTGGGATGAAACTATTGCATCCAGAGGTGCTCAAGAAATTGTTTCATGCATCCTAAAACATGTTAAAAATTTAAGAAGCGAAAGACACATTATAGCTTACAGTGACACGTGCGCCGGGCAAAATAGAAACATTAAAGTAGCTTTAATGTGGTTAATAATTGTTCAAACTTTGGAAAATAATGTGGAAATCATAGATCGCAAATTTTTAATATCAGGACATTCATTTTTACCAAATGATAGAGACTTTCGCGTGGTAGAAATGTCATTAAAAAAAAATAATTTACTCTTCGTTCCCCGAGATTATTACAAGATTATTAAAAAGTGTCGGAAAGGTAATAATTTTATTGTAAATGAAACGGGACAAGAAGATTTTGTATCAACAAAATTATTCGAAGACGCAATTTTTAAAAGGGTAAAGAATTCTGATGGAGAATCAATAAAATGGTTAAAAATATGTTGGATGCGTTTTGTCAGAAATGAACCGTATAAAATTTATTATACGTATAAGACATCGATGAATGAGAATGAAAATTTTAAAGTCCTGTATTTATTACCAAGTCGGGGTAGACCAAGAAAGTTCGAAAATATTGTATCGACACCACTGTATAAAAATATCAAACAAATTACAACAGCAAAATTCAAGGCCATAACTGACCTATTACGATATATACCACCGGAACATCATGATTTCTTCAAATCCCTTTCACACGCACAAAATGTAGATGAGTAGTAAATTGTTTTGTAATAAATTTATGTTTGTAATTTTGTACGTTATGTAGTTAAAAAATGTTTTGAATGGCATAAATTATGTTTCCAAAGTGTTTTAAAGATACGTAAAATAAATTCAGTATTGTTTTTTTCAATTTGAAGCATCTTAAATTATGTCGAATGGACTTGGGCACCTTCAAATTTTATAATGAATCTGGTTGTTAATTTTGAAAGTGGCCTAACTCCATTCTTGATAAGAAAACGCATATTAAGTAATAATTGCCAGTATTTTAATAGGAACTATAAATTTAACACCCTTGGATACACTTAAGCAGTATGACTCATTAGTATCCGTATATTTTTAAATTCATTGAAACGCCTTAAATATCTCGATTTGAAGATAAATTGACTTAGGCCACTTTCAAAATAAACGGCTCATATCGTCGCTTTAATATTTCATCGAGATTCTCCCAGCAGTTTCCAACGGATCGTGGAAACTTTGTGCGAATCGAGAGGCACGAAACGTTAAATAGAAGATTATTAATCTTGTACAATCGTTTTATCGTCGTCAGTTGCATTTGATCAGAGATACGTAATAAAGCCTCGATAAGGAAAAGAATGTGGCAATTGTGTTCGACGGTGCAAACTCACAGTCAAGATTCTCTTTCGCGAAAAACAAAATGGCGCAGGAGGATCGAGCAAGCATCTATTTTGCCAAAATTTATTTTCGCTTAAGTTTGTCGGAATCGTTTGAATCGTTTAGCCCGTTAAATTATACAGCACCTACGTAAGCGGTGGAACGGAGTACGTTAAAAAAAAAAAGCACCAGGTTAACCAATATCCGGTCTGAGGTTGAGCTGCTTTGGAAATTCGAAGGCCTGGCCTGACTCGAGCGTGATCCAAACGCCACGCAATATCTCTTCAAGCAGATATACACTCTATAGGTACTCACACGTACACGTACGTTACAATAATCTCCGACGACTTTGCATGTTGCATATTGCAACAGAGTATGTGCCTCCAAAAGGACACGATCACGATGTTTTGATGATAAAGTCTCAAGATTTATTTTGATCATTTGATAACCGAGATTCGCGTCATGAAAGTCTGATCGTTTCAGTCTATTTAAAAAAATGATCATTTTTGACTCGTCATTCATCCTTCTAAACTTACGATCTATTCTTGTGGGAATCGTTTGCAAAACCATTGTTATTGTTTCGTCGAAAATTAAATTCAATACGAAGGCGTTCGACCGTACAAAAATATTTAAAAGGTTGCATCTCGATACTTTTATTTTATTTCATACGTATATCGTAATATCATCACACGGTTGGTAACAAAAAAATGTCATTAACTTTTATTAATTAAAACATTTCACTAGTTTGAAAAATAATGTAGCCACCAGAAGACAAATAGAGTTTAAAAAATAGCCAAGTGCTTTTATTTATTCCGTACAACGATGATACATTTTCTCACGGTCACGCCAAAGTACGTGGGTGAGGTATCACGCCCTTAGTTACCGACGATTGTTCAAAGTATGCCTTCTGCGGTTGCTAAGGAACGTTAAGGTAGGTCAAGGGCACGCCGTTTATGCGAAACGAATATCTCGTAAAGAATCTGCTTTCTTGCGACTGGTTTTCGTCGATTAAAAAACGGTTCGACCGACCTAACCCGTTCGTCGATCGCACGAACTTTTTGTACAATAAACAACGCGCCGGATTAGATATTCAAATGCACGCTTCCGTTACGAAACGCGACTGCCGTGCGCGTGAAAAAATTACGAGAATCTCTGATTGATTCTATTAACAAGTTACCAACATTCGGATGATGTAAACGAAGCAATTAGTGTTACAGATAAGGTGTTATAAACGGTACGAACATTTGTGTGGAGAACCGCGTGTCGCGATTTAGGATGCCCACGTACGCACTGATGTGGCCAGTGTCGTATCGTTCGCTTACGAGGCCCCTCTCTTTATCGTAACAACGCCAGACGAGTTCCACCATTTTCTGTCGCTGTTTAATAACGTTTTGTAAGTTCGTCGTGTATTGCATCACTAGACGCATAAAAGCAACAAACAGAAATGATAAATCGGTAATGTAACTACCGGGAAACGCGAAGGTCTGTGTTTGTCGTATACCGACATCTACGTAACAATTTCAAACGAATACACTTTCTCAACAATATTTACTACCCATCGACAAAGCTTTTTATCGCGTATTTATTGTTTTCGATGCTTTTGTTGTATGAAAAAAGAAGACAGAAGGCTTACCGCGAAGCATTCAAGGAAAGTTTCCCTCGAGAAGTTCAATCACATTTCCAGGAACGCGAAAATTACACGAGGGCACCGTTCCACGCAGCACTCTTGCGCTGACACTGCGAGGACCGTGAAACGCGCATGCGCAGCCGTCTTCCTTCCCCCTACTCTCACTCGATTCCGTCGGTTAATTCGAGGCGGCGACCGTGGCTTCAGTCGTTTGCTGCACAATGGCGCGATCGGTTTGTGCTTGCTCGTTCTACTGCCGCCGTCGTTTCTGAGCGGAAGGTCGGCCCAAAACGTTGGACCGTCCGTTGCGCGGGATACACAAGTTTCTCTGTATCGTCTCCCTTGCTCGTAACCGCTTAGCTCTCCAAGTTTCTCACGAATACTTCACCACTCCGTAGTCCGCGCGACGAAAGAGAAACATCGACTCGACGGCTCGCCGGACACGAGAAGAAAGACACACTAACCAATAACCATCCCAGGTAGGAGCCAACAGGAAGAGGCCAGGTTTGATCCGGCGCGCGCGCTATTCGAAAAAATCCAATTCGCCCGGTAGAATCCGGGGGTTCGTTTTTTTCGAGAAGAACGGCGGTTTGTCAACAACGTCTTTGGGGAAAATCGACTACGTCTGACCGTTTTTCCATCCCAGACATCCGTTCAGGAACGCACGGCAACAACAGAAAGAACATTTGTCAGGTAATGCGTGCTGTCCCCGCTGCACACCATATTCAAAGAGAAAGAAAGAAAGCAAAATCGTGTGTGTGCGTATGTACATATATTTTGCGTATTGACCTCGCGTGAGTACAGTGCAAAGTGCAGTGATTATTATTGACGCGTACCGGATCTATGTCAGCCTCTTCGCCATATCGTATATTTACTTTGGTGAGATTATCCCTGCTCCCGTTTCCTATCAGATTATTTACTTCCGCGATCGACCAATTCATCGATTGGAATTTAAATCGCAAAAAGTTCGCGTTCGTATCTGCAAAGTGTTCGGAATAGACGTGTGGATAGCTCGAGCATTTGTGGCCCCGAATAATGAAAATCATAATTCGTTGTCATCAATTCGTATTAGAAGTTTTCACGAACGACGACGCGATCCATCGAGAAAAAGTCATGGACTGCGTGAGCGGACGTATTAAGCAATTTATTTCGCGGTATTGCGTCATGTTTGCGCGCTATTAATGCAACCGGTGCCCGCAATATCGCCGTGACAACTGTGAAACTCCGCCATTTTGACCTTACCGAAGGATATCTGCTATCTGGTTGGTAGTGTGCGTGTTAAGTATACACGCGTTTCGACACGCGCTACCGTGCGGACGCAATGCCTTACTAATTCCCATCTTGCTATTTCGTCAGATTTTTCGTTTATTCAATAAAAGACGATAGGGGACAGAAAAGTTCCAGAGCTCTTTGCCACCTGTCGATACATCGTTGACCTTACGTTCAAATATCGTCGTACGATCCGTAGATAATGAGTGTGTTTCGGTAAATCTTTTCTCGGATAAAAATTACGAATTAGACTATCGACTATCTTTTTATGAAGGAAACCAGCGGGGCAAATGCTCGTCGCATACATCCCTGATCTTTGGAACGGCAGGAGTTTTGCGCAAGTATGTAGATATCGTAATGGCGCGGTTCGCGAATATCCCGATAGTCGGCATTTGTGCCAACGATAAGGACGAACAATCGAGTCAATAATCCGAATTTCTAATTACAGGCTCGTTTTTTACCTCTCAATTTCATATTATTCAAAGATGGTAATAAGTAGGATTTAAGTGAACTAACCTATAATTCTTTTTTCAATTTCGAATTCTCATATCCCCGAGTTTCGACAATTGTAGCCACGATTACAATTAATTACAGCAAACAATTTCTTGCAATTTTAATCAAAATTATGCAAGATTATTTTTTTACTATAATTTTATAACTTTGATATTGAAGATTATCGCATTTCAAGTCGGTTTATAGTAATGTATTTAATATAAGTTAAACACTAACTTAATGCGGTATAATTATGAAATAATTATTTAGAACAATCTTCGTTTAACCTAGCAATGAAGTATAAACACAAACCGACCTAATCTTCTCTCAATCATAAATATAACAATAATCAAAACATTCGATGTTGAAATCGTCGTGACATAGATTGGAACGAAATAACCATTTCGAATCCAGTTCGACGTAGGACCGGAGTAGTTTAGTATCATGATTGTTATTATCTGTCAATATATTGTTTACTGATATACAAGTGGTATCTGAAACAAGACGATAAACGGTACCCCGAGTCACTATCGGTCATCCGCAGTGAGGTATAAATAAACCAGAGGAACGTTCGATAGAAATTGGTGCATTAATGACGCCCAAGAAATTTTCTTGCATCATGTTTTATAATTTTTCTGCGACTCCGGCTTCCTCTGGATAGAATGTTACGGCGCAACGACCGCCTTATTCCGATATCCCTGACCTTACGGTGTCCTCCTCTCCATAGAAATTGCGCACAAGGCAGGACGAATATCGAAACGTGATCTTTCGAAATTGTCCGTGAATCACATAGAGTTAATGAACGGAACTCTTGTCGTTCCAACGCCATTACGAACACGTGTAATTAACTTAATAATTTTAGTAGAATATTTTTTTGTAAATCTTAAATACTTTTTATCTCGGATAAATACATTATTTTTCAATTTTTTAGTTTATGCAACAAGTAGTTTAACTTCCAATACAAGAAAAATTTTAATTTTCATTCGCATAACTCTTATCAGTACATCCTGTGTGTATTCCATTGATTCTCCTCAGTTCCAGCTAGAGATAACAAATACTGATTTCCGGTATAGCTTGACCTTGAATACTCGAAGCATATTCAATTACACTATTTTTTTTTCCATTTGTTGCAGAGCTTTCTTGTAAAAGTGACTGATTGTCACCGACAAAGATCTCCGTCCAAGGACCCTAGCGGTTAACACGAAACCAACGCAAGCTGCATGGGCCCAAGCACAAGTGATATCCTTAAATATAATTAATTCGTACCTACTATGCGTATCCATAGAGCTTTCAGGCGTTAATCGGGTCGTTAAAATCGATAATCGTGTGGTTCACCGTGTTTGTAATCTTGTGACATGAAGTGTATTCAAGGCTATTTCGCCTCGACGACCGACTGACGATATTACGAATTTTAAAACTTGCTCGAATTTGATATGGAGCACGTGCTCGGTGCCTAAAATAGAAACTTCTCGTCTAAAACGATTTAAATAAATAAAAACAAGCAGTGGTCGCGAGTGTGATACTGTGCGGTGCAGTGAAAACGACACAATATGAGAGTGACAGCCGCCGCCAGGCAGCATCCACTACATCTGCAAGTGACTCGCACCAACAATGGAAAGTTCCTGGTCAGTCCGAACAATAATCAGGACATCAGTCAGCAGCCTACGAGCGACGAGACGAACCCGGTGCCGGCGGTAGTCTTCCCTAGTTACGAGCCGCTGCCAACCGATCATCATGGACCCGCCATACTTGGCGATCGGTATCTGCTTCTTGGTCCGGCCGAGGGGAGCGCTCTGTACCGATGCATCGACGTACACAGCGGTCAGCAGCTCGTTGCAAAGGTGAGTGTCGAACGTTCAACCGTCTCTTCCCCATCCACGCTATTGATTAAAACCAGATTCTCGTATGCATGGTATTCTACCATGACTTGGAATAAATCACGAATACTGAATGGCTTATCCTCGCCAACACTGGATGAACGAGATGCTCGCGTTATACAAAACACGTTAAACTTATTTCACCAATCCCCATGATACAAAATACGGAACATTTAGGAGTTATACGTCATTCGATTAGTCTAATTCAGTACATTATTAACACTAGGTTTACGGACACTCGTTACACATATTTTTATTGTAATTCGCAAACAGTTACAAAAAAAACGCAATTTTTGTTTTAGAGTATATATTTATATCATTACATCAATTAAATCCAACATAAATTGCTAACAAATAATATTTATGAGTTCTGTAACGTTAGGTTTAGAATCTTAATGCGTCAAATTGACGTATTCCGTAAACCTAGTGTTAATATGAATTTCATTGTTTGCGAAAATTCGTCATTTTTGTTTAAACTTGTAAAGTTGCAATAAAAACGTAAGGTTAAGTATATTTTGTATACTTCTAACCTAACCTAGACCTAACTCAGCTACAGATGTCTTAAAATTGATATATTAAAATTGACATACATAATGTCATATTATTATATAACTGAAATTAAATAAAAATACTGTTTTGCATTGGTCTTATTTTATGGGGTAAATAATGGTCGATTGGCTGTATAATAACCTTAATTCGTTATTTTTGTTTAAACTTGTCGTAAAAAAGCAAGGTTAAGTATATTTTAACAGGTTCACGGGTAGAAATAAATGCTTCTAACCTAACCCAGACCTAACCTTAAAATAATTATAAAATTCGTACTGACATTAGCGTTTATTTGCATCACAGCATTTTTTAAATCCATGAAGTAAGGACTGGCCTGCGTTATTTAATGTAACGGCTGATATTTTGCCACATTTACGCGAAAGTTTCAACTACACCGACTGATAGTGGTGTGTTATACAGGGTGTCCGGCCACCCCTGGGAAAAATTTTAATGGAAGATTCTAGAGGCCAAAATAAGACGAAAGTCAAGAATACCAATTTGTTGATGGAGGCTTCGTTAAAAAGTTATTAACGTTTATAGTTGCGTCTGTGAGACGGGAACCGTGCGCGCTGCACACTTTAACTTTAAACGTTAATAACTTTTTAATGAAGCCTTAATCAACAAATTGGTATTCTTGATTTTCGTCTTATTTTGGCTTCCAGAATCCCCCATTAAAATTTTTCCCACGGCTGGCAGAACAACCTGTATAACGTTGGCCAATCCTTACTTCATCGATTTAAAAAATGCTGTGATGCAAATGGTCGTTATATTGAATCATATCTGTAAATGAACACTAATATCAGTAAGACCTTTGGAATTATTTAAATTTAAATATTTCTTAAACTACTTGCTTTTAGACATACATAGGTCACTACTGTTTTTATAAAGAATGCCTAGTTTGCATCGTTTGATGCATAAAAAAGTACCTCATATCATTTTAAAAAAACAAAGTTGACCTTCATATATCCTTGACGCGACCGCATACGAAAAAATTAATAACATAAGAATATGCTCCACTCGATACCATTTAAGTTCCCTATGAAACATTTTTCGCTACGTGCCAGAATACCGAGGAAATCAAGATGTCAAAATCGGCTGAGACACCCTGTATAATGTCATATTATTATATAACTAAAATTAAATAAAAATACTGTTTTACAATGGTCTTATTTTATGGGGCAAATAATGGTCGATTGGCTGTATAATAACCTCAATTCGTTATTTTTGTTTAAACTTGTAAAAAAGTAAGGTTAAGTATATTTTAACAGGTTCACGGGTAGAAACAAATGCTTCTAACCTAACCTAGATCTAACTCGGCTACAGATGTCTTAAAATTGACATATATAATGTCATATTATTATATAACTAAAATTAAATAAAAATACTGTTTTACATTGGACTTATTTTATAGGACAAATAATGGTCGATTGGCTGTACGAACCTACCAAAATACACTTAACCTCACTTTTTTATTCCAACTTTCCGACAAGTTTAAACAAAAATAACGAATTTCGGCAAATAATGAAATGCATGTTAATCGAATGACATATAACTCACCCCGATCGGTGAACATTTGCTAGGTTATATACCCACAATACAAACACAAGCAAAGCACACAAGTTCCTCTATCGTGTATAATGATAGACCATTAAAATTCTTCGCGTTGAGTCTTGTATTTCGTTTATACTACACTGAAACGATATTGCATTACGAATTTTTAAAAATAAATAATCCCTCGCGAAGTTCAATCGTTGAAACGAAATATAAAATTATGTCTGAGGGAGGGGGTAATATTTTCAGTTTCTTGATTTTGAAGTGCAGAGATAAGGTTATCGAGCAAAATCTCATCATTCAATCTTCTAACTTCGTCCTTTCAAATATCTCATTGGGGGGGTCTCTCATTGTTAAACTCGAGCACTCGCATCAGAGAGGGCGCTGTGCTCGCGTATGCTTTATTTCGAACTGATGCGAACACATCTCAACCATAAGCATCCCTCACGCAGAATGAGGCAATTTTTATTTTTTAAATTGAATACTAATTTTGTAAACTAGGTTTCTCCTATTTTGCTGACCTCGAATGTAGGTTTGATAAATTGTTTAGAGACGCGGTTCCCAAAAGGTTTAAAAACCACTGCGTTTGAGTGATTCGCACGTGAAAATGGAGTCGTTTACTATGTTGTGTAACGTACCAGTTGTTTAAGAAACTAATGAAAAACTAGCCACGTTAGCAGTATATAAATGCTGCGATATACACTGTAGAGATAATTGTGCAACACTGATAGAGTTCCACTTCGAACGACAATAATGGTTTTACTCTACGCAGTCGTTACATCGAAGAAATATCATGTTGCACTATTCAAACTATTCGTATTTACTTCAGTTTAATGCATTTAGTGAGGTAATTGGTTTATTCGTGAAAAATAAACAATTATTATTTTATAATATCTTTATCTTGTTTGTACAGTCGGTTCAGAAATTGGTTTTATATTTTATATTAAAAAATTTTTGGTCAAACATTACTGTAAATCGTAAAGTTGTTCACCAATAAATTAGGTGTACAAATCAGTTCAGCTATCTCGAAATTTTTCCTCTTGTTTTATTTATGTGAAATTTATGTTGATTTCTTCATACCAAAGATACATTAAATCTTTTTGAAACAACTAAGATGTCCTTACAAAATCAAACTTCACAAACCAGTAATTGAAGCGTAATCGTGTGGTGATTATTGGTCAATTAAACAATTATTAGACGCTTCAAAGATTTGCAATTATGGTCATCGCGTAATTGCAGCCCGACAACGTGACAATCGTATCGTGACAAATTTAATCAGATTACATTTTGTCCAACCGCGTCCCAAACAACACAGAACCACCGCGGACATGTCCCGGACAGTGTTTAATGTCTCGTAGCGTCGCAGCCGACGGAAAGAAACAGTAATCGTTTGTTTCGAAACGTTTCGTCGCGTTTATCCTTGATAGAGCAAACGCATCCTGCCTCCAGGATATGTGTCACGTAAGACTCGGAGGCAGGTGTGCAACAACGCGCGGAACATGTCCAATAAAAGTTACACGTTTGTATCGATGAAAATCACCTTTCTAAACTGTCGCCTGCAGGCTTTTTCGTTCGTATTCAGGTCGAACGCGAACGGTTCACGCGTTATCGGTCGATGCCACCGACACGTAACCCCGGATGGGAAAAATTAGTCTGCTTTATTTTGGTTCGCGCTGGACGCGGAGTCGGCTTGCGCGTCTTGTTTACGATAATGCGTTGTCTGACGCGATCGAGCACTCTCTTACTCGTGGACACATATAAACGTTCTTCTTTATATTAACGAACATATTGCTTGATGCTTCTAACCTCCAAAGTTCTAAATTTTATTTTTTTATATAAAAAATATTCATGGAACTTCAAACTACGGTAGTCGTATAAAAACTAATTATTATGTTTTTATTATGTTGACTTATCACGTCTCTGAGACGTCATTGTAAGATAAAGGGTTAAGTTATTTGGAATTCGATAAATGTAATTGAATTTAAAAATTACTATACAGGGTGTTAGGCTACCCCTAGGAAAAATTTTAATGGGAGATTCTAGAGACCAAAATAAGACGAAAATCAAGAATACCAATTTTTTGATTGAGGTTTTGTTTAAAAGTTATTAACGTTTAAAGTTCCGTGTGTAGAACGGCAATCTGCTAGCGGCGCAGTTTAACAGCTTTAAACGTTAATAACTTTTTAACGAAGCCTTAATCGACAAATTAGTATTCTTGATTTTTGTCTTATTTTGGTCTCTAGAATCTCCCATTAAAATTTTTCCCAGGGATAAGTGGTTATATGTATACATGGACGCATATAAACGTTCTTGTTTATATTAACGAACATATTGCTTGATGCTTCTAACCTCAAAGTCCTAAATTTTATTTTTTATATGAAAAATATTCATGGAACTTCAAACTACAGTAGTCATATTACACTAATTATTATGTTTTTATTATGTAGACTTATCACGTCTCTGAGACGTCATTGTAAGGTAAAGGGTTAAGTTATTTGGAATTCGATAAATGTAATTGAATTTAAAAATTACTATACACAGTGTTAGGCTACCTCTGGGAAAAATTTTAATGGGAGATTCTAGAGACCAAAATAAGACGAAAATCAAGAATACCAATTTCTTGATTGAGGCTTTGTTTAAAAGTTATTAACGTTTAAAGTTCCGCCTGTGGAACGCCAATCTGCTAGCAGCGCAGTTTAACAGCTTTAAACGTTAATAACTTTTTAACGAAGCCTTAATCGACAAATTAGTATTCTTGATTTTCGTCTTATTTTGGTCTCTAGAATCTTCCATTAAAATTTTTCCCACGGTTGGCTGAACACCCTGTATGTATACATCAATTTTAGTAATTGCACTAGAGCGTTTGG